GTTTACGTAACCAAGTGCCTCCGCTGCAAAACCATTATTTTACTTCAGAGACCCTCTTTTTTCAACTGATTAATATATTAATTAGACAGTAAATATAATCGTATAATTTAAAAGGTCCAAATATACTTTACAAACTGACTTAATATCAGATTTAACTTTTTTACGGTAAAAAATAATTGTTAGTGGAGAATATATTTGAGATGAAAAAAATTAGTGAAGATTTTCATGGATCAAAAGGTAAATTAATATTCTATTGTCAAGTTAAACAAAGTGGAGGCACATTGTTTATGAGTCAAGCATAACTACGAAATGGTGATCTAGTATCACTATTTTACAAATTTGTAGGAAAAAAAAAGAATTAATTCACTAGCAAAAAATAAAAATAAAAATAAACTAGGAAATTTGTGGTGAAGAGATGGAATATATAGTAGCAAGATTGAGTAAGTAATTACCAATGAAATCTGTGGCAAGTTTTCCATTGGAGAATCTGCCAGTAGGTTGAGAATTAAGGTCCATCCCATAAGGCAAGTAATTAGCCTTGTCTATAGTAGAAAGATGGTTGTTATTTCCAGGATCTACACTTGAATCTCCAAACACCAACAAACATGTTACATTGTTTTTGGCTGCCAATTTCCTCAGCACAGCTACTTCAATGCCTTGTACTACAGTATTATGATCATGTAACACTACCAGAGCCAGAAACAGGACAATCACAAGCCTCATCATTTTCACACACTTAATTCAACGTAAAATATGTAAGTTGTGTAGGCAATAAAGGTGAACTAGCTCTACTCGTCCTTATATAGAGTTAGGGGGCTGTATTTTTTGGTTCCCCAGCGCAGTGTCCGGTCCACATTGACTTTGTAACCAAGGGGACTCAAACTCGAGACTGATTAAAAATAAAGGAGTACTTATCACTCCACCACAACCTTGTTGGTGAGTTAAGGAACTTTAATATTGTTAGGTCGATTAATTAGCTAGCATAAGACGTTTGTATGATTCATGTGGCAAAATAACTGGCTGACATACATGAGCTGATGAGCATGCTAATTTCGTATATTTCCGTTCAATTTCACACACTAAGGAAGACTTTCTGCGAGATTTGACTTTATAACACTATGGTTTCCATGTAATATTACAACTTTTTAAAGGTTCTATTTACTAGTCACTTTTAATTACTTTTTTTTTAACATCCATTAAAAAAATTAATAATAATCTCAATTATTCTCTTCGATTTATATTACTTGACTCATATTAATTAACTTAACATATGCCTCTTAAAAAGACTTTAATATGATTAGAGGTGTATTTTATTATATATATTATTAATGATATTTTGCAACTCTAAATTTGACTACTAATACTATTTTATGTAGTTATTTAATACTAAAGGGTAGTATGAAAAATTAATACTGTTTAACTTTCTTAATTTTGCTAAAATTGACAAGTACTTCGATTCCTCCGGCTCATATTAGTTGTCTACTTTATCCTTTACACATCCCTTAGGAAATCATAAATATAAGAATAATAATTTTACTGATTTACCCTCTTAAGATTTACTTTTTAAAACTTTATAAACTCGTTTACAATTTCAAAAAGAATTAATTGGAAGAATAAAATAGGAAAAATGTAATCAATTTTATCTTAATTTTTTTAATTGACAAATAAAACGAGACAACTAGTTTTAATAATACTGCTCTAAAATAAAAAAGATATATTTAACATGAGTGACAAGTAAATATGAACGAATGAGCGCACTAGTCCCCTTCCCTACCTCTTCTCCCCCCTGCCAAAACAGAAAGGACAGCAAAATAAAATGCTTTATCTGTAATTAGTTGGGTAAAGCCCTTGATTTCAAATCAATTGTCATGTGACAATTAATAAGCGGTGGTACATCTCATAAATTTTTCAGCCAACCTTGAACAAGATTAATGGCCCAGCTGGTCTTCATGTCTCATAGTGTGTGTGTCTACAACAAATTATATAATCGGTCAAAGTGGAAGCAAATAATTCAAAATTTATTAAAATTTGTGATTGCAGATTTATCACACTATCATTGACAATTAACAAAATCACCAAGTCATGCAAGTAGTTGTAACTCGTAACGCTTAGCTAACATTATCTGTCCATTTGCTTATTAATGCAACACAAACATAATTTGACAACTTTTATTTCTACTGAAATCTCGAAACGTATTTCATTTGAGTCGTCCTACTAATTTTTGTATTCATTGTTATCGTATAATATATTCTCACTTTTTTCTTTGAAACGTTTATGAGAACCTAAATTAGTGAAAATTCAAACTCAAAACCATAAAATCAGCGTCATCAATCATCATATCATGTTAATGAAGAATACTTAAAATGGAAGTACATATAATACTTATGAAATACCAAAATTCTAAAACTACTTTAGTACGTTTGTTAATTGTAGCAATGTGTTTGCACATGGTAACTTACAAGAAGTGTATTTCATTGGGATTGTCGTTCCACCTTTAATCAAAGATCTTTGGTTTGAGCCCAGGTATGGAGAAAATTTTGTTAGGAGCATTATCCCAAAATGTGCCTTGCAATGCTGATCCAAAATTAGTCGGGACTCCAATCTGAGCTCCGAATCGGATAGGAAACCAAAAAAAGAAGTGTATGTCAAATAGGTTAGGCAATTAATTAAAAGCTTGAAAAAGTAGGTATATTTCAACTTCTATAGTTGACAATTGGTCTTAGCATTCCATTACTTTGGGCAAACAGAGTGGGTTAGCTAGGACTAGTTAGTACGTTTCTTACTACAATCAAACATAAATGAAATTTCAATTGCTACTCCAAGAAGTGTATGTGGATGTTTTTATTTTTCAATGCAGGAAGGAATGAGAATATCACGGTGTCCGCAAGCATGGGTGCACCTCGAGTACGAGCATCTTGGGGTACATGTTACATACTTCCATCAACATTAGTGCTCGATAATTTTGTCCACCAATTAATACTTGAATAAAAGGAAATTACCCTAGTGTTTTTGCTAGCTAGAATTTGATTATGCTAACTCTAAGGTGCAAGAATTGGAGTTTTGTGTACTATATTAGACATTAACTATTAATTACGTGTTATACTGCTAATTAGCTACATTAGCACACCTTTCTCGTTCATCAAGACATTAAGGGGTCGTTTGGTAGGCAACATTAAAATAAATAGTCAATGTATTATGTATCGTATTATTTAGTACTATGTTTGGTAGGAATTTGGGCCTATGTATAACTAATCTATGGGTTAGTTATAACTCCTACATGGTATTATAGGATGTATTACTAATACCTTCCATTTGGAGGTATTAGTAATACATAGGATATAATACCATGGGATAAGTCTATATAAAGACAAATATATCCCTCAAATCATTTTAATTATTTTGTTTATTTTCTTGATTTTATGTTTTATATTTGTACTAGTAAATTTATTTAAATAAATTAGCTTACCAATTATTTATAGAGAGTTGTTTGTTACTAAATAAATTCAATACAAATTAATACAATTTTTGAAATGTGAGTTGTTTAACATTAACTAATTAAAAAGGCAAATATATCACCACATGCCGTTTGTGATCTTAATTGAATGTATAATTTGCTTTTATAAATATATATATATATATTATTATTATTTTTTGTCTAGTTTTCTAATTATTTGTATTTTGAATAATTTATAAAATTGTATACATATTAAAACTACAACTTGCAATTCTTATGTGTAAATGTAGATGGTTTATTCAATCTTACTATTGTTTAACGTCTTTTCAATTTTAAAAGTTGATAGTTTATTTTTTTCAAATTGAAAATTGGCATTTTGTAAGTGATCAATTTACTAAGATGACAATTATTTATCCTCAAATAATTTAAGTGGAAAAAAGGTGAACACGGCAATAAAATTGTTCTTCTCATAGCTAGTTAGAAGACCATGAAAAAATAATATTGTCCGATAATTATTTAACTTAACCTAATTACATAATAATTTAAGGGTATAATTGGAAAAAAAGTTTTTTCATAAAGTTTTAATCCAAACACAAGATGAGGTGGGAAATAATGAACCAAACACTGGATAAAAATAAATCATGCACTATTAATCTCTACATTACTAATTCCAGCATTACTAATCCCTACATTATTAAGGTTTGTATCAAACGACCCCTAACTAAATAAGTTGAGATCCAGTTAAGCCTGAGAAAATGGACAATAAATGCCGGTATGATTTACATTTGGAAAATGGAATGATCATGGACAACAAAATATATTAACTTTGGGATTCTTGCAAAAACCTTTTGAACTCGATGGTAAATCGTTCATGTAATAATGGTGTTTTAAGTGAGATTCAAATTTAAAGTTTATTCAATTAAAAAAAAATAGCTATAAAGTAATTTTGAGAAGCAATTAGGTTATTTTATTCCATTCAAATCTCACATAGTGTAACGGTATGAACTTATAGTTAGCTAAAAGAATAAAACAACCTCCTAACACGAAATTCACAGTTACTAGGTAGATATAAATGTATACTCTCATAATTTAACACTAACCGTTGACAATCATTATCTATTTAGATTCCTAAGAAATCATTAATTCACAAATGATAAAAAATCTTTTGAAGAAAATCAAATATGTTCATATACAATTTCACAATAACAATCTATTGTAGTCTAGTTGATCAGGATATTTGGCTCTCACCCGAAAGACCTGGCTTCAAGTCCCGGCAAAGGAATTTCTTTTTTATTTTGTTCTTTTTTTCTCCTCAAACTTTCTTTTTTATTTAGTTATTTTTTTCTCCTCAAACGTTCTTTTTTATTTCGTTTTTTTTTTTCTCCTCAAATTTTTCTGGGATCCAGTGACAAGCCTGTGACAGATGCCAGGACGAAAGACCAATGAAATTAAATGATTATAAGTTATAAATTCTGAATCACCGCATCACAGTGGCGGGAAAAAAACCATAGAGGCATCAGGAGTGCGTGAGTCCACTCGGTTTTTTCCTAGGGTTTTGAAAAACGAAAGAAAATCGAAGGAGAATGGAAAAACGAAAGAAAGGAGGAAGCAACAATGGAGGAATTGAAGAGAACACAATGGCGATTCTCGATACTTCTGGTTTCAATAGAGATTCTCACCACCGCCATGACGACAGTACGCTTTTAGTTTCTTTCTTCTTTTATTTGTTTACCTGTTTTCTTCTTCGATTGATACATTGAAAAAAATTTCGCAGGTCTTGCTTTTCTAGAAGCTGTTCGCTCTGCTTCATTGCTACCAGAAAATGGAACACCGCCTTCTAGGTATTTTACCCTCCTTTTCTCTGTTTATAATGGCTGATGTTGTATGATTATGATTTCCTGTAAATTTATATGTAAACTGAACTATATAGATGCATACACACACTGCGTATGCGTGTGTGTGTTTGGAGAATTGTACGGATAGTGGAGAATATCTAGCTGCTTTGGTTGATTGGTATGCGTACTTGATATTGTTGCTGTATCAGAAATTTAAGATCTTAATGATGATTTTGAGGACAAATGGAGTTCAAACCTTGTTAGTTGCAAATGAAGAACAACTAACTACACAAATTCGTTAGGTCTCAGTTATCCCTAAAAGTAGTGTCCTCTTGTATATCTGGTCTGTTTGCTCTTACTTCCCATCTTTGAATGGTTCAGTATTAAGTTCCTTTGCAGGGTGTTACAGAAGTTGTTGGTATATACTCATTTGCACACATTGTTTTTAGAATCATAAAAGATGATACCTTTTGCTTCTGCTGTCCGGCTACTGAAGCTTTAACCCAGCTTGTCCTTTTCCCCTTTCCATTTTCTAATTATTTTTCTTTCTTTTGTTATAAGAAATACATGATACTCTTGTTATTGTGGTTTGTTGCAAGTCTTTGATTTTGTCAATTGACTTTATTAATGCAGAGTTCCTTATTACATGTACTGGTTGATATATAGTCTCTCTCTCTTTGTCTACTAATAAGGAAATAATGTATTCTTTACCAATTTTGCATGAACTTACATTCTAGTCTTAAATGGTTATTTTTCTGTAAGCTCTTGGAGTGCATAGAACTTCTCCCTTTGTATAAATGATTGTGAAAACATCTTTTTGTCTAGGACTTTTGCCTTTTTATGTTACTTGTATAAGTACTTGGTACTATGATCATTGGGGGAACAATACCTAATCCCAAAGATGCATCTTTGTTCAGTTTTTGTGGCAATATAACCTTTTGCTTACTCTTCAAAAAGAAAAAGCAAAGAAGAAACCTTTGTTGCAAACTTGCAATGTAGTTGGCATGAATGATCTCCTCCCCCCCATCCAGTGTTTTGGACGGCGAAAGGCGACAAGGGTCTGCCTCGCGGCGTGGCGAGCGGCGAGACGGTCGCCTTTTTGAATTGAGGTGCTAATTAATACCAAAAACTTAAAATATTTAATCGCATTTATAAATATCCAAAATCTCAATAGCAAATAACATATATTAGCAAATACTATATTATTTAGTATAAAACTAAATTGTGTAGGGTAGAAATAAATATAGAAGGATTGATTTATTTTTTTTTTTAAATGAAGGCAGATTGCAGAAATGCAGTAGCTTCAAAATAAAAAAACAGCGTAAAAAACAGAACCTGATCTTCTTCTTCTGCATATGAAAGAAGAAGAGAAGAAAAAAAATAATCTAAAACCATACCTGCTGAGTGCTGAGCAGCTGAGGTCTCATCGTCAGTAGTGAGGAGAACTGGAGAAGAGAAGAAGAAGAAAGTCGCGAAGTAGTGAGGGAGGAGAACTGGAGAAGAGAGTCACGAAGTAGTGAGGGAGGAGAACTGGAGAAGAGAGGGTCGCGAAGGTGCAAGGAGAGTCGCGATGGAAAGAAGAAGTCCTAGGTTTGCAAAAACACCAAATAAACCCTAATATTGCCTTTTAATTATTAAATCAGATCTTTTTTTTAAAAATAAAATAAAAAGGCGATGCCTTGCTGCGTCACCATTCGCCTTTTGTCGCCTTTCTGAACTCGCCACGCCTCACCAGTAAAAGGCGACGAGGCATCGCCTTTAGTGAGAGGCGAGCGCCTTTCATAACACTGTGGCCCCATCTTAAATGTGTGTCAATTTAGCTTTCAAGTTACCACATAATGTTTGATAAAAAAAAAGTTACCACATAGGGTTCCTATTATCTGATATCACGGATATGCTGGTACAGCACGATGCGTGAAGCGATTTTCCAAATTTTGAAGGAAGAGACTTCACTTGAGCTAATAATGGGAAGTTATCAACTTCTAAATGAGTTGGATAAGGTAAGAGCTTGCCTTATTCCTTAGGTTTAACTTTTTATATTATTACTGCTGCATTTGACTTTCTTACATGGGATGGATTTTCTTTTGAACCTAGCGATTTCCTAGGGTGTGCTTGCCCAAAATGGAGGAGCAAGCATCATGTCTGCAACCAACCATTCTCAATGAACCTGTTGTAGTTGAAGAGGTATCTCCATCCTCTCACAGATGAAGACACAGTTGTTCACAGACGCAGTTGTTTTCTCAATATTAACTTCAATAATGATCGGCTACTCTATGTCAGGCCTGGTGTCCATTTACTCTAGGATTGGATAGGGACGATGAAATAAATAGAGGTTCAAGTGGATCAATTGACCCCTTGGTAAGTCAGACTGTATGTGATGGCTACATCACACATTTACACCAATTTCCTATGTGTTTTTTACTAAACTTTATTATTCCTCTCACATGTATTTCGGCAGTGTTAATGTTTCTGGTGATTTTAGGGCTTTCATTCACTAATACAAGAACTTGGGGAAATGATCAACCAGAGGTCAAAAGCATTAGAAACAAAGGTCAGTCACCATATTGAAGCTTTCTTTCAATCTCTATGCCTTACAATATTATATGTTATTCCTATATTATCATAGTGTATCAGCTCATATATCAGCATACATGACAATTTCAGCTATACTTAATAGTTGTTTGGCCAAGCTTCTACCATTTACATAATTTGGAGAAGTGATTTTTTGTCAGAAGTACTTTTAGAGAGTAGCAGTTTGTGTTAAGCTAATGAATTTCAGAAACACTTTTGCTAATATTAGAGTAGTAATTTGTAATTGGTCAAGGTTCCAAAAGTGCTTTTTTAGCTTGTATAAATTAAACTTTTGTTACTTCTCAAAAACACATATTTTTTCCTAAAAGCTTGGCCAAACACCTCAACTCTCTAAAATAGGCATTTTTGTTTATTTTGAAAAAAGAAGCACTTTTGGCTCTCCCGAAGCTTGGCCTAACAGGCAATTAGTCAGGTGACCGGGTTCTTTTGGCCCATATTGTCATTTTCAGAATTTCCTTGATTTATGAGAAGATGTAGTAATTTCCTTGGGCATATAAGAAGTATTTAAGTTATTTGCCTTTCACATGTTTTCGTTGGAGCAGTATCTCGGGGTGAGGATTTAGTAATTAACCAAGTGCTAGAATGTGCAGTTAGCTTATGATCATTCTTGTCCAGTGTGCATTTTTAATTGAGCGTTAAACTCTGAATGTATTGACATATCAAATTCCTTTGTGGATGTACATTTAATTGAACAGCCCTCTGACAATCTTGACTAATAAGATAATTTTATGAGTTGATTTTGTAATTATTTCTTTAAGAGTAATAAGATAATTCACAGGTCAATTTTATATCTTTTGTCAGCCAGTTGGCTTGTGATTTGTGCCTAGTGTCATCATTGAAGAATTATCCTGCCTTTGTATCTTCATCAAATAGTCTGACAAGACCTATTGCAGATATTAAGGAAGATGCTACTACTTCACTATCTTGTCAGTGTGCTTGAAGGAGACTTTGTGCCTCGTAACAAAGCATTCAAAGGTAATGATTTTCAGAGGATTCTAGTTTTCATTTAGTGTCATGCACCTTAAGAGGTCTTCTCGAAACCATCTTGCAGAAAAGATGAGTTGGACCCTTTTGCGGGATTCATTGCTCAACATGCTTCTGGTATGTTCTCATTTTCAAATGTCACCATTATTATTTGTCTGTAATATTGCTACTTAGAAGTGTGAGTTTACTGAGGTATGCTTAGGATGCCACTTCTTATTTGTCTTCCTCTCATTGTTCAGGGGTCAAGAAAAATAATCTATAAAAGCTTAGTCAAGGACTGCCTGTCGGTTATAAGTGATGTGTTCTCTGACTTACATGATATATCTGAGTCCTCCTCTGACGTGGATTCAGTGGCACCTCCTTCAAACGAGATATCGCATAATTGCATTGCTGCTTTTGCACTGGCTTTACCTGAACTCAAACGGTCTACTTGTATCATTCTGAAGAATGTCCTGAGAATGGTGGATTCCCGAGCTATTACTCTTTAAAATATATGTTTGACCAATTCTAACTGTGACTTGTTTCACAATTAGATGATGGAGCTGGATGCATCACGGAATGTGGCAGATGTTCAAGGCCTTACCACCAGAGCTGATGGTGTGAGGTATTTTGTTGAATGAATTATTTTACTTTAAATAAAACCATCAGATTGAGAAATCCAATTGATATCAGAGATAGTGCAGATCACCTGCTGCAGAGATCATTTTGGATGAACTCGCTTACAATTCTGATATGCTCTCCCCCTTTTTTCAGGTAATGTCCTTTCCTCTTAAGTTGGATAATGAGATGAAACTTATGTTTTTATTGGGACGATGTTAACATTTTATCCTACATGTTTCTTTGTCATTCTGATGTATCTTGCTTGTCAAGTAGAATGCTGCATAATATGATGAAATAATTTTCTGCAGGTCTTTGATGACCCTTGGTGGAAGCTAAAAATGATCATGCAGTACTTTCGGAAGTACATTCCTAAGGTAAATGTATTCTTCTATCATCGTGCCATATCTTAACTAATTTTTAAACCGACAGTGGAAGTATCTTCACTTAATTCACCTGGTACAGAGTTTGTAGTGGAATGTAGGCTAGATACAAGGATTGGGGGTTTGTTTTAGCTTATTGAATATATTTTCATTATGAAGCTTAATATTTTGTTATTGGCCTCTTTTGTTATTGTCGTTCTGTTAAATTATGCTTCGATCTCTGTCTTATTTTCTTGGATCTTTGAAGCTGTCTAATGTTGTATACATTCTAAATAAGTCTTACTTGAGGAGTCCTCTGTAGATATTGACCATCAGACTCTTTTATTCGAGACATTGGCATACATCAAATGACTCCTTTCTTATTCTAGTATTCCATATACTTCCTAAATACAACTTACCGTTTGTGCTCTTTTAGGCTATGTTGTGCTGATCTCTTCATTTTGTTTTTGATGGCAGAAATGCAAAGTCGTCCATGCATGCATAGGAAAATTCTTGTCAAGATATTACCTTTAACCAGACTAATCATAAAAGATAACTATTTACTTTTAACCAGTCCGCCTGCCAATCTCCTTTTGAATTTAATCATGAATTCCCTACAGATTTCTAGACTCTGGTCAATGCATTGTTGAAGTACTAGGCATGATTGTGGAACCCTCTGTTGCTTGGTGCTTTGATACCCAGGAGCTTTTGCTTTCAATTCAATCATAATCAAGAAGTATGGATAGAGGTTGGACCCTAGATGCTTTATGGAAAATTTATATTGGGAATTAGGAAAATCTGGAGCATTAATTTTCCGAACCTCCCAGATGGGGAATGGTGTACAAGCAAGTTCCTTGGAGTGTTACAAAAGTCCTTTGTTTTGACAACTTAAACATTTTCAGCAAATTACTAGTTTGCATTTCCTTTTCAGGAATTCCAAAAGATCTATGCCCCAATTTTGTTTTTTGGTTCTGTTGGTTGTTTTCCTGTACCCTATATTAGTTGAGTTGTCATCTATCAAAAAACTTGCTCTATTTGGTTTTCTCACCTTCTTTGTTTGATGTTACCTGGTTTAATACAGAGGTTACAAGCTATAAGATTTTGAGAAATTAATACTACTTTAATGTACTTTATGTTGCAGTTTCCTGTTCGTACTAGGAGATCAAATAGTACGGTGAATGATTCCACATTTGAAGGTGTTTTGAAGTGCTTCTCAAACAGCAGGAGCACAAAAAATATCATCAAGAAAATTGGAATGGATGTTGCTCAGCTGCTTCTTGGGCATGCCTTTTTGGTGATTAATCCTTCTTGCAAACCAATTTGTTTACTTCTAGGATATCCAATTTTGATTCCTTGGATAGTTCTTTCCCTCGCAGAATTTCGATAAGATGCTGCAAAAAGATCTTTGAGTTCAGTTATAGATAATCATTTTGATTTTTTTTCTCACTAGGATAAGTATTTCATCCTCTTATAGGCTTACTTGTCAGTATCAGTGGATTCTTCTGCTGAAAATGATGATTTTGAAGAGATGGTGAAAGGAAGCTCTCTCACAGAAATCTGCAAGCACATAATAGCTGCTTTTACTTCTATCAGAAAAGAATACAAGTAAGATTCACTTTTTTTTTCTTCTTATTTTTAAAAGTAAGATTCACTTGATGTGTGTTGATTAGCCTTGCTTTCACCTGCTGAAGTTATACTGAATTTCCTTGGAAAAATTCTGCCGCCTTCTCACACATCTTTGAACCACCCATTGCACAAGCTTCACATAATGAAATAGGCACCTCTAACTTTTAGGTTCTCTGGACAGAAATGTTCACTAGCACCTGCAACATGACAATTGAAGTACCGTATTTCTATTCTTTTTGTGAATTTTGTATGAATCATGTTCCTCTTAGCAGTTTAGCTTCTTTAGGAAACATGATGCCTTGCTTAGTTCCAACTTCCATATAGAGCTAAATTGGATGAGCAAAAAATTCAGAAATAAGATCAGAAGGGCACATCTAGTCCAGGAAATTTTGATTAGAAGGTCTTACTTGGATTATTACTGTAGTTAGAAAAACAACTGGGTGAGACATAAGTCCTCTAAGAAATTAGAATTACTGGTATTTTAAACAATTGTTCAGATCTGGAAAAGAAAATGATTAAAGATGCAACTAGAGAGGATTACATGGTGATCTGCATTTATAATTCATTCTGCCGCTTCTGAGGAACTGTTGAAAAAAACAATTTAGCTAGTAAGTGATTAGAATAGTCTCTTTTCTGCAATGCTGGCTTTCCTATCCTTACAGATTCGTGGTATTAGAACACAACTTCTTTTGATGCATCAGATGATATACTAATGTGGGGAACTGTTGAAGTGAATTTAACATAAAAGCTTTTCTAGTTTCTAGCTCTGCACAAGTTAATAAGTTGACATATCATGATGCAGGAACACAGAAATTCTACTTTTGGGTAAAGAAGCGGTGTTTACAGCTGCAACCATTCTCTCAACCAAGTCATAGGAGAAACAGCAGTTACTATTTATTGTTCATGATGTATATTTGGTCAAACGGGGCCAATTAGCAAAGCCTCCTACCTGAAGTCCGCGAAATGATGTTTCCACACAGCCAGTAGTGGTCAAATGCTGTTCAAGGAAACCTCAGTGAAAGCTTCATTTGTGCCTTCCTCCCATGGTGATTGGTGAAATTTAACTTTCACCTCTATTTTGTAACGGCACTATATGACAGCTAAATAGATTCACATTTTTTTATGCCTTCAGGCTTGTGAACTGATTAAGGCACTCTTTAATAGCCAATGGAACTGTCCTTTGTAGTTAAAGGAAAACCGAAAAAGGGTAACTCTAAGGAACTTGGTGTATCATGTATGAATATCCGTAGCTCTAAGCTATGCGTTAATGCTAAATGGGTCATTCCAATGTTATTGTATCCTGTCCAAAGATAGTCATGAAAACACTGAACAGAACTAAATGGAAACAAACAATGAAACTTGTCTGATGAGTTATTTGAAGCGTCATGTTCTCACGAGAGGTGTTGATGTGCTCTGTGGATGATATGCAGGATGTTCTCAAATAATTTTGGTGCAATGTACTACCGAAGTAGGTTTGCAGCTACTTCAACAAGTGATAACAACTATAAGCTGAAAGTTCATATTCGTGACACTTCAATCCAAGTTTGAGAGTTAGGAGTATAATCCTGTATTGAGTAATAAAATTCCACCTGGGTATAACAAATAGTTTTCTTTTCCCTCCTTTGATTCCTTTCAGATTTTGAGATTACTAAAATTTCATAAAATAATAACCCAACACTTGTTGGTGCCTACTTTTAGAATGCTAGATTTATCATTCAAATTATAATAGAAGTGCTAAGAATCACTTCCTCAATTGCTTCAGTCTCATTTTGACGGTTGTGCTGAGTCAAGATGCATCGTGACAGGCCCATCATTGACCAAGTTGACCTACCAAATTAAACAAATACCCAAGTCTGAGAACATCCTCCAGTTCGACAGAATTTTAAAGCTAAAAGAAATCATTTTTTTCAGAGAACCTCACCTTCATTTTTGCTCCAAAGACACCATCTGCAATAAACAAAAAAATATAGATGGGACATCTCGCATTGTACAATTTCTGTAATTTTAGATTCTCAAAAGAACAGAACAAAACTAGAAGTGCAGAAGTTACTCCTGTGGATTCATTATTCACCGAGTAAGCTAGTAAGGCGTTTTGAAAACATTTCAGTCTAATAGCTGAAGTTTTGGGGATTAACTAAGGTGAGTAAAAACTAGTATGACCAGAAAATAAGAGGATATAATACTTTAGACCTCATCAGTAAAAACAAGAGCATCAAAGCCAGTCAATCTTTGACCATTGCACAGAGAAATATAACTTCTTTGCACATGCAGAAGAACTATCTGAAGAGAACAGTCATACTAACGAAGACCTTTTTTTATTACTTACAGAGACTACAATATCTTCAAGAATTGGAGATTTTGAAAGAAAGCAGATATTAGTTCAGCTTTAACATCTATGATACTGATCTATGCTTGCGCCATTTTTCAAAACCAAGCAGATATAAGAGCCCCAATAATGAGATTGTTGACAGAACAACACCATGGATAAAAAACCAATAGCATTATCCAGTGAATAGTTATCAGATGTAATTACTATGACTGCATGGATGATGTTGAACTCTACAATTTAAAAGCTTAGGCTTTTCAAAAGCTCATCCAAACACTTCAATTACTTGGAAGAATATCTCACAATGGCTGGAGAAATTTAGCCTTGTGTTCCATATGTAATGATATACAAGTATTCTAGTCTGAGGAAACGATTACTAAACGTTCCTTCTCACAGAAGGGGATAGCTATTATATCACAACATTCCAGATTAGAACATATTCCAACATTACAACACTAAATTTCTTTAGTTCAAGGAAAAATTGTTAAGGGAGAATTAAGGCAAAAATAAAGTATTAGCATTCTGTATTAGAACCTTCATGGTTAAGTTATCAACATGTATAGTCTGCAAATGGAGTAAAGATAAGCAAGTAATCCGCATTGGGGGAAATGAGGGCCCCCAGAAAACAAAATAGTTGTGCTGACAGCCTGGAACTGGTGCTGACTTGTTATGAAAGTAAGGTAGGAGTTCAGTCAAAAATATAGAAGCCATTCAGCAAAAGAACAAAGAGAGACAAAGAGTTGAAACCACTTTTATCTTTCCATAGGACTATTGATAACAGAAAAGGAGATCAAAACTGAGAATGCACGGAAAAAAGTTATTTACCTTTGATGGCATCCTGTTTGTAAGCTTTCTGGAATTTCTCAACCACAGAGGCATAGAAGGGTTTTGCTTTCTCAGGAGGCATCGCGACATGAAAATCAGGCTTGTTTCCCTTCAAAATCCCATATAGTGTAAACTGACTCACTGCACCACCCAGTAGATACAAACAAGTAAATCATTATACATCCTGATCAAAGTTTAACTTATTTCCCATCATTGAGACAGTCAAAGCATCATCTTTAAGACTTATACCACTGTGAGAACTTGTACAACAGATCAGTTACCTAATAGAACTTCATAATTCTTCTGAACTACCTGCCAATGGACAATAGAAGCCGACAAACTTAAGACTGAAGCAGTGGCGTAAAACTAAGTAACAATTCTACACAGTAAATAATACATCTTTGGTCCAAGCCATGAAATACTATCATCATTTACAAAGATGCATCAGAATCTCTGACAAGATATAAAAAGGCAATGATATTTTATACTCTATGAATCCGCAATGCCTTAAAATAACTAACATGGTGACATTTCCGAATTAGTCTTGAGTAAAGATTTAAACATTAAACTTCTTCATACATGTATTACTAGCGGGTCAAATATCTTCTTCTATATCCTACTTTCGGCTTTTTGGACATTATCTTCCATGACAATGCCATTCAATTTTGGTTGAATTTTTGTCCTAATGTTTACCAACATATGTTTTCATGAAATGAGAAGTCTTTATGATGTTTGTTGTTATTGTGTAATATGTGCCACATTTTCTAGTTGGTATTTGATAACACTCACATGGATAAACGTACTCCATCCATCCCAATAATCTAAACCCATTTGACTTGTGGAGTCTAAGAACAAAAAGTTCAATAGGTAATCACGAGTTTAGTTGAAAAAGGAGGATCTTTGTCATTTTAAAAACTAGGCCAGACTATTTCAAATTGACCAAAAGATAGGTCTAATTAAATGGGAAAGAGAGAGTAAGGTCAATGACACAAAGGAAGTAAAAGAAATGACCCATTTACATTCTTTCTGAGTAGAAATGCAGTTCGTCTTATAGTTCAGTCTAAAGTTTGAGCGATGATTTTATTTCAAAATTTGCAGTTTGTCTTATTGTTCAATCTCCTATCTTTCATAGAATCTCCAATAGAAGTTAAACAGCCGAATGCAAGCAATGAAATTTCAAAGCAAGAGAGGGAAGAATTGAGTATGCCAATACATTGCAAAGACGAACTTCTCATTTTCTTAACAAATGTAACCTCCAGCTAATAACACAGGGAGTAACTTATCCATTTTATCCTACTTCCTTTTACAGTTTATAAGGTAGCACAAGTTCAATCAATCAGCTAGACCTAAATCCCAAACTAGTTGGTATTGATGATATGAATGCTCTATATGTTCCACTCTTTCTTTTCCTCTAATAAATTGGACATAGGACACTCTTGTAATGCAGCCAAATGTTCATCTCATCAGATGAACTGTTCTATGTCAATGCTTATCAGTGGCATATCTTCTAAGAATCAACTAGCATAAGAGGTCAATTTATTTACAAAATAATAAAGCATTGATTCAAGCAAAAATTTTCAGTCTCCAATCAGATAATTGGTTAGTAATGCTTAGGCAGTATATAGCTGTAAATATCAGCACTCAGAAGCCACACATTATATCAGGCAAAAAATAAATATGCAATTCCATCATATAGCAACAAAAGCTCATGATGAAGGTGTTCACTCTAGTCTACAGCAGGAAACTTCACTATTACATGGACAAAATGGATAAATGAATGAGTTGATTTCTCATATGGTTACTCAACTAATAGTTATCATCTCAGAAAGTACTACTGAAATTTTAAAGTAACTATTTCCCTATCAAAATGACTATTCAACCATTACTTCAATGTATTATTATTCCACAATACACTAGTTAAACTAAAAATTTAAACTCCATTCCAGTAAAACACCACCATACAAAATGAATCAGAGGGAGTAATGTTGTTCAAAAATTATTTAACTACCACAACAGAGAGAAAATTACACTGTGATCCCACGTCTTTCCAGTTTCCTCATTTGGGAACAGTCGCATATTCAACACTTTCCGGCATCTGCAAAATTACAAACATTAACAGAACCAAAAAATGAAACTAAAGGAAAAAATAAATTTGATTCAGAAATATTTATTTTTCTATTAAGCATTTCAAAGTACCAATTTTTACTATACACAGTTCACTTACATGTAGTCAGCATCGGAATCGACGTCTGATTCATGAAGCCCGACGAGAACCAGCAAGCCCGGCCCGATTGCTGATACCGTACGCCCCTCGACCTACAAAAAAATTGGTATTATGCAGTAGGTGAGCAATGAGCACTATTATTCTAGCTAGTATATATATAAATATAATAAATAGAAGAAGAAAAAAATCTTCAGAGGTTTCACCTCTACACTGGCTGAAGCAACACGCTGGACTACGGCCCTCATTTTTGGTTCTTCCGATTCAGAACTTCTTCGTCGCCGGCGAGACAAGTCAGGTGGAGCAATTATGGCGCAATGTAGCACACCCTTGCTGTTCTTATTCCTGGCGCAATTTAGCACGCACTCTAGTTTTTTCCTTTAGTAAAACAGAAATAAAAGTATTTTTTCTTAACTTTTGACCTTTACTAGTCGTTTATTTTTGGGAAAATTATTGAAATAGTCAAAATTATCAAAAGAAAATATATGAAGAAAAATTCTTTTTCCATAAATAATACATTTATTTTAATTTGTTTGTCTGATTTTGACTTGTCACGAAATTTGGAGTTTAATAAGAAAATAAAATAGATTTTTGAATCTTGTAGTATTAAACGAAAGATTGAACGTATAATACACTTAAAAAAAATTAAAATAAATAAATAATAATAATAATAAAAAAAAATATTATAATAATAATAATTAAAAAAATTAAAATATATATATATATTAAAGGATACAATAATTTTATTATTGGTAAAAAATGGGAGCACTTAAATTTGGGGCCTAAGACAAGTGTCTTATTTTCCGTTTGCTAAAACCCGCCCTTGTTTAAAGATCCCAATCATCCATCACAATCCATGTTTGTAATTTAACCCGCTTTATTTGGTTATTTATTATTTATTGTAAATTAAATTATCAATTAATATTATTAAATAAAATTAACTGCAATTTTAAATGATATGTTTGTGTAAATACTCTTTTACAATGTTAGTGCACTTAAAAACACCTTTTATTTTCCCCATTTCCATTCATGTAATTGAGGGAAGCCAAAAGAAAAATATATAAATTACAAAAAAAGGGAAAGTTTTTTTTCTTTTAATCTCAATTCTCCTCTGTCTAGGAGGAGATATCATAGATGTGTTCAAGCAGTACAAGATTCCTTCAATAAAATTGGAAGAAATAATCAAATAACAAATAATAAAAATAAATAATTAGGTGAAAAATCAAATATCCAATAACACAAAAATCACATATGATGCATAGTGCAATCTTTTCTAAATTCCCCATGCTTTCTTCCCCTTTTGACCCCAATACCTCCCATTTTCTCCATAGCATCAGCAAAAGCTTGAAAAAACTTATGTTTATCCTTAGCCAATTCTTGTACCAATGGCTTAGTCCTAGGGTCCAAAGATAAAGCTTGATCAGAAGCCAATAATCCCAATTTAGCCTCTAAGTTCCCATAATAAGCATTGTCAAATGAGAAAGGTGTTGTCACATCAAATGGTGCTACAATATCAACATTTCCACCAAATTGTGGACATGACATTTTTAGGGCCTTGAAAAGCCTAGGATCCATGTAAGGGTCAGGTTTCTTGGTCCCCTTGTAGTTATAAATTCTGTTCACAAATTGCTTGCAATGTGCAAAACCTATTGTGTGTGCACCTGAGAGGACCACAAGGTCCTCTGAGGTAAGTCCTTTAGAGGAAAATAGTTTTAAAAGTTGGTCCACTGTTGAATTTGATTGTGGAAGATTTTGGTGCACCCTTGATGCCTTTGATAACTTTCCATCCCATCTTCCTTTCTTCACTTCATAATAGGGTCCTCCAACCTATTCATCAAATCAACAAACCTTTATCATAAAATTTTAAAACAAATACAAAGTCTGAACCAAAATTATTGAATTTTGACGAACCCTGATTCAAAATGCTATGGCCATTGAATAAAGACAAGTCAAAAGTTTGTTATTATCCCAAGAATTAATTTGGAGTCCTCGGAATTATTAGTAGATTAAAATATGTAGCTCACATGTCATTCTAAATCTATTTGATCAGGTATGTTTTTTAACTGCCACTCCAATTGAGCAATCTTTACTGCAATTTGGTACTTTCTTGCCTACATATATATAGATGACTAATGTACTAATTGACAAAAGATAAAAAGTATGACCTTTGTCTTGTTTATCATATCATGCCAATTGAACAGCTATAAATTTGAACTTTTTATATGTCAAAATATATATATTATACTGTACGATTTTGGACTATTGCGTCCAATATATTAAACATTCGTCGAGAACCGTTTGATTCTTCTCATAAAATTTGGATAATATGAGAAGGAGACGATTTCGATGAAAAAGAAAGAAGACCAAATGACTCACTTTTTTCTTTTTATTTAGACTTATTTTGTTGCGTCTTACGTGCAAAGTTTAGTACAAAAAGGAAAGGTTTTATTGAAGCAAAAATATATAGGAAAAGAAAAGAATAAAAACTATAGTCTATAGTGCCATTTAAATTACAGTAGACTTTTAATTTGTGTGGTATTTGAGTTAGTAGACTTACTAAGTGGACAAAATTTCTGGTAGCAATGGCAAGAATGTCTGCACAAGAAACAACACCAGGACACTTGCTTTCTACAATAGCTTTGGCTTTATTTATGCCCTCAAATGCCTCTTTAGCTATATCCTTGTTATCTTCTGCATCTTTCTCTGCTAATTCTTTGCTTCCTGCTTTACTTGATATCAATATTGACCCATCACACCCCTGCATTCAAACAATGAAGTTAATAAAAACCATATAGTATAATGTTTTTTCTTATAGCAACTGTGTCCGGGCCAACTTGGCACACCTTGCCACCATGTAACTGTACTCATAGACGGATGCACAATATTATTTACAAATTCAGTAGAGCTCAGTAACTTAGCTCAGACTCTATATATATATATATATATATATATATATATATATATATATTAAGAAATTTTATAAAATATGTACTGATATGTGAACCTATAAAATTCAAATTCTGAATCTGTCTTGAGTAATTTTATTCATCAAGACTGAGGATGACAAATGGAAGGGATCAATTCACTTATAATAGCATTTTTGAACCTAGCTAACACGTATAAAATTCAAATTATGGTGAAAAAAAGCTACTACTGTTAAAGTGTGACTTACTTCAACAAAGCAATCATGGAAAAAAAGGCGAATGGTAGCAGGACCAGAGGCAGGGGCTTCTTTGAACATGTTGGAGGTTACAGAGCCAACGAGAGATTCAACTTGAGGGCATGATTTGGCATAATAATTAACGGAGAGTTGTCGAGGCGCCCGCCGGGCGGTTGCGTTGATCAATGGGTACTTGAGCAGAGAATTGGAGAAGGGTAAATTGATAAAGAAGAAACAGAAGAACATAAAAATGGTGGCAGGGGAAGAAAATGTGGGAGAAGACATGGTTGTTTGGTTTAGTGGCTAAGACAAAATAGGAAATTGTGGAGAAGTATATAGGAAAAATCGAAAGGTGAGTGCTATAGACTGACAATAAGTAGCCATGTTCCAAAGAGGAATCATGGACCCGTGAGGAGATGCCCAATCAATAAATATTGGAATACATAAATAAATATGATAGGAGACATCAAGTGAATATATACTTCTCAGTCATTTTCTATTTTTTCCCCCTATATCGTTACGGTAGTTGTGACCACTAACCAATGATTTTTTTTATTACGGTTTGTCAGCGCACAACTCAATTAATTCCACGGGATATCTGTCACCTCCTACCAACAACAAGTACTAGATAACTCTATACATCAAGCCTAGGACAAATGAGCGCATTATTTTTTGTCTTCATTGAGTTTTGAATCTGAGACTTCAAAATTCTTAATGATTTCATTGACCACTACGCCACATCTTTGAGTTTCCAATGATCTATTACACTAGCATTTATTCAAATAGGTAAATATTTATTTTACACCGGGGAAGGAAGAAAGGGAAAGGAAATGCTATGCTACCGATGTGATTTAAACTCTTCACCTCAATTGTCAGTTCATCAAGTGAGCTAGCCCTCAACCTCGTTGATTATAGTATATCTACAACTCTTTAAGTATCTTGACTAATTTAACTTCTTAATAATATAGTACTATTTGCTCTTTTTTTTAATCTTGGGATGGGGGATGGAGGGGGGAGGGGACAAAAGGGATGGAACCATCTGTTAAGTTGTACACTTAAAGAATCTTATGTTAAATTTAGTGTAGTAAAAAAGGGGTAAGTAAAAGGTTAAAGGTGAGTGGAACAGTGACTAAGCTTTATGTCATAAAACACAAAATTTAACTGATTTGCTTTCTATGGTACAACAAAGAAAGGCGTAAAGTAAAAGGTAGGTGGTCTGGTGTCTTTAGTCAAACATGATCAAATTCTAATAATATGTCCATGTTCACTAGTAACTTTTTCTCATTTTTTCTGTTTCATTATGCTTTCACCATTTCATTTTTATAATTAGTAATAATATAACCAACACCAAAAGAAGAGGAAGCTAGACAAAACAAAAACTTAAGCAAAAACAACTTGTATTTCTAGCAAAGAAATAATTAAGCTCATGATTATTCCTTTCTTTTCACTACCTAAAAAGCCAAAAGATAATGAATCTTGGATCTGTTAATTTTGTGTTTGCTTTAGTGAAATTGTTTGTTATGAGAGAACCTATTTTTGTTTTAAAAAACAAAAGTATTTTTACAGCATAACATGTTTGGTTTGAAATGGGCCTAATTCCATGTAGATATGCAAATTGTGCTTCAAAGGAATATTCACAACACAATGACGCACTTAAGAGTATGACCAATACGTCAATGAAGTAGGTGAAAGTCATCAGAAACAACGGTTCAAAAACAAAAGACGTTAGTTGATTTCTTACAATTTGTCTTGATGAGTAGAGATATCCAGTAATACCCCATTTTATGAGAAAATATTCACCTCAAAAGGAATTCCAACAGATAAAAAAGATTTCTCGAAAGAACCTTTCTGAAGCTCAGATCACTTAAATGCATAGCATGTGCAAGTGCAATAAGAGATCTCACTTTCACACAAGTCTAGCAGGTCACAGAAGATGCACTTTTTACTCTTTGTATTTAAAATTCAATCATCCCATTGTTGACATCATTGGCTTTCTACCAGAAATGAGCTCAGTAAATGCTGTGGACCATGCACTTTCAGGCTTCACATTTTCTCATGCCTAGCTTTAATTGTGGCCCTGAAAAAGGAGATATTTTAAAAACTAAAAAGTCCCTTTCAAGTATAAATTTTTTGTTTCCAAGTGAGTGACCACTTTGTGAGAGTACATAACATTCGAACTTTCATGTTGTCATGATCATTCCACTTTGCCTATCCATTTGTCCATGAGTTGGAATCCTATTCTACAATTTATAATTCTATCGAAACCTTTACATTTAGATTGATTCACATTTCAGAGGAATCAATGGTTACTTACAATAACTTAGTGCAGAAAACTGAAAACCTACATAGTCAAGACATTTTGTTACTCTGAATAATCCCACTTCAATCTGACCTTGAATTCCCCATTTCTATAGCAAGTTGAGGATGTTGGGAAGAGCCATCAAAAATTTGGGCAGCGTCTGAAGGACTCACTAAGTGCCACTTACGCGAATCAGCCCTCTCGTCTACCCCAAGACCTGCTGCCCGGGCAGACGTTACTCTCCTTAAAGTTACTGTAGGCTTGTCATTTTTGTTATACCGTATAATTCCAGCTGTCTTTGTCCAGAAACTTTGATCAGTTGATGGATGAACTATATTGTCACGAAATGCTCCAGTCAGTTGCCGGGATTTTCTGAATAAATGATACACATAAAATAGCAAACAGAGAGTAGATGTTGCACCAGAGACTAGGTATAAGCCCCAGAAGCTCCCAAGGGTGAGGCTTTCTGTTTCACCAGTAGGATCAACATTGTCACAATTCTTCGACAAAGCAAACCAGTGTTCTTCCAAGCGGTTAAGCGTACCATCTTGTGTTAGAATCAGTATGGCTTCAGATACATCATGAGCTAGCGGAGAGCCTTTCTGGAATGCCTGGTAACATCAATAAAGTTATGCAAATCAGAGATACAGACTATAAACAGAACTATGGGACTGATCATGGTTTTAAAAAGAGCAAATGGTGTAGTTATTTGTACTTACAAAGGCTAGTCCTCCAAATCTGTAATTAGGACCAGCTACAACATACTGGTTGCAATGCTCTCTAAGGAAAACCTTCTGATATGGGATTTCAAGAAAGGCGGCTTTGATGTTTCCACTTTCAAGTTCCTTTGGATAATCGTCCTGATTGCTAATGTTCTTGATATTTTGAAGCTCCAGGACTTGCTTCAAATAATCCTTAACAAAGGAATCACCATCACATCCAACGGTTGCGTTTGTTCTCTTTATCCACCCTATATCTTTCACACTTGGTTCCAGTCTTGGAACAGTTAGCATTGATGTCAGAGAAGCTGTATAACTCGAGGTCAACACGAAGACTAGGAAAAGCCAAACCACTACTACAGTCTTCGTGTAGTTGCTTTTGATGTTTTCCCCTGATTATCAGCCAAAGTAAAAAAATGTTATCTCCTTGCAAGTTCTACTGTCTAAACAATGAAAAAAATGAATATTTCATGGACACTTCATTTAGCATTAAAAATCACAAGTTGTTCAATTTCAAATAATATGTAGGATAGCAAAACTTACTGTGAGCAAAAAATAGTGAAGAGAATGTAAACCACATTGCAGTTCCAAGTTGATCTTTCCACCGGCCTCTAAATTCAGGATTGGACTGATGCTCCATGAACCAAACTACAAGCATTGTGTAAACTAAGACAGCACCTGTCGCTATCCACATGTTTCCAGTGAAAGGCTTCAAGAACATCCATGCCTTATTCGATCTATCAAACTTCACTGGAACCACCATGGTCAACCCTGACTCGGCAAATGGCTGTGTGAACTCTACATATTTTGTCCTTTCAGCTAATATCGTTATATCTCCAACGATAGCATCATATTTCTGACAGAAGGAAAAATAACAAAACATGAAAAAATTACACGAGTCCAAAGCAAAGCCTCAAGTACTAAATGGTTTTTCGCCTGGTATAACACAGGGTACTGTGCCATAGAAAAGTAGGCGACAAGGCGAAAAACTAGATAGTATTTAGGATATCGGAAACAAAATGCTTACCCCATTACTCACTTGCTGAACCAGATCAGGATATGAGCCATTATATGGCTCAAATTCATAAGGTAGTGTATAATTTTTCTCCAAAATTTTAAGTACTTCTTTGAAAAGATCAATACAGAAACCAGTATACTTCATTTCATTTGTCTCTGCCACTGTTTCAACCTTTACAAATTTCTCAAAAGATGTTCTCCCTGGAACTCCAATAATCAATGGTTTTGAATCAGTAGGCATTGCCCACCCTTTCGGAACACGTTTCAATTCTCCCGGCCATTTTACCATACTAAACTTCATAATATGGGAACCATTAACCCCGATTATCTCCCCATTTTCAGCTACAAGAACTTTCGAGAATCCAAACATTGATGACCAAAAGCCAAGTCCATTGTACCTGTTTCCATCAACATTTACAATCCTAAACGTTGGAGGGTGTGACAGTACTCCATTGACAAAACTAATATTGCCACTCAAACCTGTGAAATTGCTGGAAAGAATTCTGTTTTTCATCAACACTGAGTCATTGGAACTTTTTGTACCCAAACTGTTCACAGCCTTAGCAAAAGCTGTGATACTGTCGTATGCTTTTAGAGCATGAATTCCAGGCTCTGAGTGATCTTCCATAGGATATTCAGACCGGAAAATCTTTTGAAATTGACCTTTAAAATGTCGGAAAGACTTAGTGGCTTCTGGATAGTGATTTTTGATTCCTAAAGCCCCTTGGATAGATGAAATAAAGGCTGTGTCAACAGAATCCAAGAGATCAGCAAGAGAATCTGCAAGTATCCAAGCTGAATCTCTTCCCATAAGTCCAATTTCCTTGGCCTCTTTAAACAGATGATTGGCTGTGGATACTGATGAGCGAAGAACAATAAACACCCTTGATTGTTTCTGTAGTAACTTGACAACCTCTCGTCGAACAACCTCCCTTGGATCAGATAGAGAAGAGAATTGTGGAAGAATTAGTTGATGCTCTACTTCTACACCATGACCTTTAAGTGTTTCAGTTAGAACTGCAAGCATACTAGAATCACTATACATGTCATCTTCATAAATTACTATGACTTTCCTCCACTGGTAGGAGCTAACTATAGATGATGTACAACTTATTTGGTCCAAGCTACTTGTAGTCATTTGCACCAGGAAAGGCCATTTAAGTTGCACCAATTCTGGTGTGTAGGAAGCTGTAACAAAAGAGATAATTGGAACTTGATGCCTTTTCCCAATATCAGCAATTAAAGCTGTT